TAGTAATTGTAGCTTTAGGAAGCATAGTCTAAAGCAGTGGTCATGGATCTGCGGCATCTGTGCCACAGTAGGCACGCAGAGCCCTCTCTGTCACCTTGAGAACCATGTTGACTCAGCAGCTGAGCACTGAATAACAGCTGCTTTTCCAAAACTAAAACTTCAGTATTCACATTTAATTGCAGTGTTGGCACTCTGCAATAATTAAGTGGATTTTGGCTTATAGTCTGGGTCCTCACTGGTCTAAAAAGTACAAGAGAAGAAGCCAAGTTGTGAGGAAATATAAATGCATTACACTATGACCAACAAATTTATTCACCTCAGAAAAAATAGTATAATAATTACATCAAGACATGACCTATTTATTAAGATTTATAGCAGTATGTCAGTACAGTTTCCAAGTAAAATCTTTTTATTTGATGAGAAATGAAATTTAGATATTTTATTCATTTGAAAAAATATTTGAAGCATATCTATTTCATACCAAGCTCAATGGCCATAAAAATAAATTAGGCGTTGGGGCTGGGGCTGGGGAGATGGCTCAGTGGAATAAGCTTCCCTGGCAAGCGCAAGGGCCTGAGTTCAATTCCCAGTTCCGCCAAAAAAAAAAAAAAAAAAAAAAAAAAAAAATTAGGTGAGATTCTTGTCCAAGTCCACCAGGGCCAGAGAGTTCAACAAACAGGAGTGATATACATAATGCCTATGTAAGCAACTCTCTGAAATCACAGGAGGAGTAAGTGGTAATCACGGCACTATGCAAGGTTGAGGCAGAATGAATACAAGTATGAGACAAGACTAGGTGACTAAGTGACTTGGCTTACAGTTCCGGAGGATTAAATCTCAACAAATGATCACTGGAGGACACACTGCAACTAAGCAGTTTTATGGTTTGTGTCTAGATGTCCCGTGCAAATCTATTTGTGTCTAGATGTCCCGTGGGGTGGGCTTCTAGAGTTTGTGATTGATCCATTGTCCAATGCTGAGATTCTGGGTGTAAGTGCTACATTTACCCCCTGGTAAGCCTGCATAAGGTATAAGGGAAAAAAAGAGGCTTGCTCCTTCTGCTTTTTGCTCTTGTTGCTTTTGCTGTCCTCTGTCACCATGAACTGCTGCCCTCTACCATATGACACTCTGCCTTGGAGTCAGCAGAATATGGACTGACACCTCTACAAACTGTGAGCCAAATAAAACTTCCTTAATTTGGAGTTTCAGGTATTATGTCTCAACAACACAAGAAAAGTAACTCAGTCAAGCAGATACTTCCAAAACACACCCAAAATTTGATCAATTCTCAACATTACTACCGCCATTCTTAGGTAAGGCAATGCTATTATTGCTCAAGTATGGCTTCCTACAAGGGCTGTCTGCTTCTGCCTATGACTCAATTTGTTCTTTTAAAATGGAATATTACTCTGCCATAAAGAAAAATGAACCTGAAGCATTCTTAGGTAAATGGATACAACTTTAAAACACAGTATTAATGAAATAAATTAGACACACAAGCTTAAATATTGTATGGTTTCTCTTATATGATATATATATGTATATATACACACACACAAAAGACAAAACAACATAAACAGGAAGTCAGGGAGAAGTTCAAATAACATTTCAAAATTATTTTACTATACATGCTAATTTGTTTCATTTATACTAGTTTTTCTTAGTTCATTGAAAAGAAAGTGTTGAATTCTCATTTGTATGTTTTTTCTTTTTTTTGGCAGAACCAGGGATTGAACTCAGATCCCTGAGTTTGCCAGTCAAGCACTTATCCTACGGAGCCATCTTCCCAGCCCATTCTTTATAAGACAGTTTTGGGCTATTTTTCTGAAACAGGGTCTTATAATTCAGGTCGACCTACAGATATCCTTTTGCCTCAGCTTACCTAATAATGGAATTACAGGTTTGCACCACCATACCAGCCTGTAAGAGTCTTTCTATGTCTTGTGCTCTGAGTAACTACTTTTAAGATTACAAAACATGGCACATTAACTATAGTTATTCTTGTAGTATTTCATTAAGGAATTTTGTTTCATTTTTTCATATAATTTTTTAAAAATGCAACTCAGTTTATATCAACTCTCGTAACCCAACAACAGCTTCTTATCTCATTCTAACTACAAATTAAACTCCTAAAATAAACAAAAAAGATTGAACAATACCAATATGAAGTAACATATTTATTTAAAGCTGAATTTGAATACCTAGTTCAGCAGTATTGTAGAATATCAAACATTATTTCTAACTATTTAACACAAGGCCATAATCCATGTTTCACTCCCTCAAGGCTTGATTACTGGTGGTACAAGCCACCCAATGGACAGTCATGTGTGTATCACTGACTGTTATATAGGTCATGAATCTCCCTAGAAAATATGAAAAACAAATTTGGCACTATTTTAATATTATTGTAGACCTTCTTAATGTCCATTTACGAAGTTCTTAATGTCCATTTACGAAGTTTCACATAAGAACACATGGAAATATTTAAAAACAAAGAGAATGATGGCAGAAAGGAAATTGGACAGTAATAGGTAGTTGGAGCAAAAGAATGGAAATGACAAGGTGTGAAATTATTGGGTTTTTCAATTGCATTGTTTGGATTCTTCTGTTTTCTCTAGATCAGAGCAGATTCTTGGATCACTGACACTCATAAGATATCTGTTTAACCTGAATCATAACTTCAGAATTATGGGGGAGGGGGTTGTTTTTCTTTTTGAGTCAAGGTCTCACTATATAATTCAGGGTAGAACTGAACTCACTGTGTAGCCCAGGCTGCCCTTGAACTCAGTGATCCTCTTGCCTCAGCCTCTTGAGAGCTGGGATTATAGGCATGCACCAGCACACCCTGTAAGAGTTTTTTGAAAGTTCGAAGATTTCTCTATGACTTATTCAAGTTCCAGGGCACCTTTTATTATATTTCTTTGTACTTCTACACAAACACTTGAGTCCTTAGAAGCAATTTTACTTCTGCCCTCTTCAATCTTGACCCAAAACCTAGCTGCCTAACCAGTTTGTACTAAAATCAGCTGATAAATCAATTCATCTCCCAAATCAAACCAGGCATGATGGTACAAGCCAATGCAGTATATACTTCCAGTTACTCAGTAAGCTAAGGTGTGAAGACAGCTTTGACTCAGGAGTTTGAGGCCAGGATAATATAGCAAGAACTTGTTTTAAAAAACACAAAGAGATGAAAATTCCCAAATCAACTTTAATAGAGAATACATCTCAGATTATGGTTAGGAAAAGAAAGTCATGTCACAAAGTGAGCATTTTGCCATCCTGCTGGCTCCACTAATACTACTCTACCCTTTCAGATGTTTTGCTTTCTTTCTCTGGTCCTAACAAGCCAGTTCTTTTCTAGCATACTGAAAAAACAGTGCCTTCTATCATCAGATCTTCTAATGTTTTATTCTGTAACTAAAAAGAACTTAACAAACACACTTTCTTTTCTAAATTGAACAGTAGAGTGTAAACATTTCTCTAATTTATATCTATATATCGATCACAGCAATCTTTTAACACTTCACTACTTTGATATCAAAGATGTATCATATCAAGTCCGCATCTTGTACAGCAATTAACCACTAGGAAGAATGTATGCAATGTGTTAATCATTGAAACTGTCCTACCAATTTGGTTTGAAACTGTCTCCTTGCTATTTGTTTCTCAAAAAAATTATGGAAAAAAATTTTTTAAAAAGATGTATCTTAACTTTTAAGTCCAATAATGCTCATAATATATTAATTTTTAAATTTTTATCATTATTTTTCAAGGGAAGGGTCTACACGGTGTTCAGGGTCTCACTGCAAGATCGGACTCCTACTGATACGCCTGTTTACAGCCTCCCAAGAGCTGGGATTACAGGCGCGCACCACCACACCCAGTCTCAATTGCGTTTCAGCACACCCTGGGGGTGGGGCCAGCACAGCAGGCTTGGGTATCAAACCCCTGGCCCCTGTGCCTGCCTGCAGGCGCTTTAATCTGCTGAGCTATTTGGCTGGCCCTTTTATTTTTTATTTAATTTCACTTTTTTAAAAATGCATTTTAATGAGAAAAAAGATAAAATAGCAATGAAATAGCTTCAAAACAGGTTAGCCGGATAGTTACAATAATTAATACAATTGCATATTGTTGACTTCATAGTAATTACTCAGAGGACAAGATACAGACATGATATCTTTGCCTAAACAACATTAGTACAAACTTTTCTTCTCAATGAACTTATAGAGAATAGCTATATATCTATCTTATCTTGTGTATGTGTACATATGTATGTATTTTTTTTATAACAACAAAATGCTCCTTTTTCTT